AAGCAGTCCTTAAGGTTTTTATATAAATCTGAGATCCAGTCCTAAAAGGTGACAGGTCACTAAAACTTTGTCCTCTAATTTCATGTCTTTGATTATCCTCTATTGCATATCCGTAACTGAAGTCAGTCAAAATGTAATCACATAATAAATTATGTAAGTACTAAGTACAAATTATTAGAGAATATATTTGGGGTGCTTACAAAATAGTTCAGGTTCATATCCTCAAGGTACTCCTAATAAGTAGAGAACATCTCCTAATGAGGAGAGAATATTTGACTAGTAACAGTCTCCAACAAGTAACTCACTATGGTGATTCTACAAAATTATGTACTGTTGACCCTTCAACAACATGGGTTTGAACTGCATGGGTACAGATAAAGATTTTATTTATCTATGTTTACTGATGTACAGTTGACAAGTTATTTAGTTTCATGTGCACAACAAAGTCAACATAGTGATTAACATACATGAATTTTTTACAGTACTATAAATGTATTTTCTGTGATTTTCATAACATTTTATTTTCTCTAGCTTAATTTGTAAGAAAACAATACATAATACATATAACATGTAAACTATGTGTTAACTGATATCAGTAAAGCTTCCAGTCAACAGTAGGCTATAGGCAGTTAAGTTTTTGGGGAGTCAACAGTTGTACTTGGATTTTCAACTTCGCGCAGGGGCGGGGGTCAGTGCCCTCAACCCCCGCATTGTTCGAGTCAACTGTAGTTCAGATCTACAACTGTGCGGAGTCATATAGATGAATCTCAAACATTGGGTGAAAGAAGACAGACACAAAATAAGGAGCTTAAAATATTCTGTGTCTTGATCTGGGTCCTGGTTACACAGGTGTGTTCAGTTTAAGCTGTACATTGGTGTACAAATGGTGTACCTTTCTGATACAAATTATACTTAAAAAAATGTCTTATCACTGAGCATTCAAAAACTAGATTAGCCAAGTTCTGCAACCTGAGTTTTACCATCTGGGTTAGCAAGTACTGGTGGGTGTTAATGATGTACCCAAGCTTCCTGGAGGATGAATAAAACAAAACAAATTATCTCATATAAGCAGCTTATTTCTGATTTACTCCTAACTTCAAAAATGAAATCTCATAGGATCAATGATAGGAAATACTGAATACCTGTCTTCTAACACAAAATACTTGATTTAAACAAGAACTTTTTAAAATCCAATAATTTTTAAACTAGATATAAATAAATATAAGTGAATAATCACTATAAAAGACAAAACAAGGGGCGCCTGGGTGGCTCAGTCATTAAGCATCTGCCTTCGGCTCAGGTCATGATCCCAGCGTCCTGGGATCGAGCCCCACATCAGGCTCCCTGCTTTGCGGGAAGCCTGCTTCTCCCTCTCCCCAGCTTGTGTTCCCTCTCTCGCTATGTCTCTGTCAAGTAAATAAAATGTTTAAAAAAAAAAAGACAAAACAATTTAAGTGAAATCAGGTATCTAATAAAAAGACCATCAACTTGGACATTCATTTTAATAACCCAGGTGCACTACTACTTTCCTTATTCATTTCTCTTTAAATACTGGTGCTATAATAAGGAAGGACAAGCCAACTCATGGGGATAGTGTACCTAGCCAACTGTACTCTCATTTGTTAACTACATTTATGCATTTTCTTCATTAAGGCAGAAATAGTGCATGTATAGTTCATCAATGCAGTTTAAATCCTGACAAGCTACCTGATTTCTTCCTTTAGTCTACCTGAGCAAAAGTTTCTCCCTCCCTAGTGCTCCTTTACCTTACTGACCTAATATATACTAGAAGGTAAATTTGTTTGCTATAAATTCTTACCCTCAGCTTTTTTGCAGACAAAGGACTCCCAACAAGAGCCTGTTCCCCAGTTATCAGTAAAATAAGTTTCTAAACTAATTTTGTCAATGTAACAAAGCAATGCCAAAAATTAAGTTCAGAACTGTTCTTTAAAAGAGTAGAAAGTCAAAGTTTAAAGTTACTATTCGGAAATGCCAATAGGCTAGAATATCACTAAGTATCACTATCACTATAGTAAGATAATCTCCAGAAAGCTAATTACTGAAACTACATTAATCATTTTAATAAACAGTGAATTCAAATATTCTGCACTTCCTAAGAAAGGGCTGTATTATTTTTGAGCTGTCAGTATCAATTGTCCTTGTATTTGGCAATGGTTTCAGCTTGATTCCCTTAGTACTCTGCAAATGACAAATGGGGAAGACAGAGAACAATGATAGCACCTATAGGAAAAGGGAAAGGAAGGCTTGACAGTAGCTTAAACTTTAATGCAATAACTGAATAAAGCATTGGCTATCAATGGAAAGAGAGAATTTCTAAATACAGGCAGAGGCAAATGGGTGAAAAGCTTCTCAATTTGCTAATTCTAATTTAAATAGAGAAGGAAACAAAGGGGCCATTAGGGAACTCTGAGTCAATGTAGGAAAGGTATATTAATTACTTATATTTTGATTAAAAGATACTCCGCTAAAAGAATCCTGGGGAAAAAAAAAAAAAAAAAGATTCCAGTCTTTCAAGTAAGGCAAAATCAAGGATCTTCAGCTATTTAGGGCAGGTTTAATGAAAACTGGACAGGGCTTAAAAGCTGTCTCTACTGAAAATGAATTCCAAGATTTCATAAACAAGAGCCTGAACTATGGTATCTGTCAATACTGAAAAGCAATTTTATACCTCAAACTAAGTAGATAATGTAAGGGATTTACATCTCCTTAAACTCCTGAATGGTCTTGCTTAATAGAACCATCCCTGCAAAATACTTATTTGCCAAATTAGTAAAATTGTTTTAAAAATCCGTAATTTATAACAAAAAAATGAACAAGGCAATTTGGTGAAATCTAACATAAACATGGTCAGGAGAAGTTATATTTAATATCTTTTAAAGCTTAACACACATAAATCTTCAACCCTGTCTGCAATGAAAAAGAATGTATAATCCCATAATACTTTATTTGCTAATACACCTACTAAAAAGTCTGTAGATATTTGCCAACTGAGGTCATACAGTTAGAACTCATAAAGCTAGCCTACTGCTCTTATCAACTGAAACAATTTTTTTTTTTTAAGTTTTATTTAAGTAATCTCTACACCCAACATGGGGCTTAAACTCATGACCCCGAGATCAAGAGCCACATGCTCCACCAACTGAGCTAGCCAGGCACCCCTCAATTAAAAATTTAATAAGCTAATTGCAAGGTTAAAAGGAAGCCACTAGCACTGGGTTGGACCTGTCACTTTGGTACCAAAGGGCCAACTTACAGTGAAGAATGGCTGACCTAGAATATAAATTCTGATTATAGATTGGCATTCACATACTATTAACACGCTATTAACTTCTTAGACTCTGGACGACAGGCTTCAAGGAGAAGAGCAAATACTTTCAACCCATGAGAAACTACAGATACAGCAACTTGCCTCATTTCTGATACCTTAAATATTTCTGTATCTAAAAAGGAAAACAGATAAGAAATATTTAGCTGTAACAACAAATAATGAGTAGGCAACTTCTATGGTTGTTTTATAATGAAACAAAGAAAACTTTTAATATTAAGTCAAAATTATAAAAAATAAAGCTCACACCTTTCTACATTGTTCTGATGAAAATAATAGCTCTCGTTTATATTGATATCATGGTAGCTTACAATATTTAGCTATTTGAAATAAATTACCATACAACTAAAACTATTCTTGTTACATTTCTAAACAGAATGTTATTTTTCCTTTTTCTAATGGAAAAGTATAAAGTACAACCGAAAGTACTCACCCTGGCTACATCGGATAAGCCATATGAATGACTGAGCATTCATGCTTGTTTCATGTCACAATTTACATTTATGTCTTAATTTACATTGATACAGCTGTACAATTTCAAAATTGAAATTATAATCACTGTCCTATAAATTTTAGAACTTCCTGTTCTACAAGAAACTATTTTAAAACATTTTCAGTTAAGGAACATATCACTGAAAAGATACTTTGTTAGAAAATCTCTTTAAGTGACACACAAACAAATCAACCCTAAGAATTAAAGACTGTTACCATTTGTAGGTAATGTAAACCATGTCTTAACATGACATGTACATGCACTTAGCAATACTCTTTTCTAATGAAAGAGATGGAGTTAAGTCCATGAGTAGTATCCAAACTATGCCAGAGGACACAAATGCGTTGCCAGGCAGAGTTAAAAGAATCTAACAAAGCTTTGTGTGAATTTTTAAACAGCATTTGAGCTTGTTCTAGTCATTAAACACAGAATGATGGAGTGCTAATAAATATTCACCAAAATAACTGAACAGAGCATATACTACTTAAAATGTGTGTTAAGCAGAAAGATAAACCAAATTATCTTTTGCTATAAATGAACTCTTAAGACTTCGTTCTATATTTTAAAAAGTTAAAAACAAAATTTATGTAACATTTCTATGAGAAAAACTGTTTTAGGAGTTTACAAAACAGTAATGCAGGCAGGTCTAGGGAATCTAACAAACAAGCTTGATGTTAAAGTTTCTCAACAATATAAAACAATGACTACTACACTTTGATACCTTGGTCGTGTCCCTTTTCCAATTTCTTAGTACGAAGTAACATTTTGCTTTGAGTTACTAAGGCGTTCACAGAGAAATCGTATAAAATAGGACAAAAGTAAACTAACTGTTGTTTATTTTACAGAATAATTTTTACATTAAAATATACAAGGGTAAGTGGATATTTCATATAATAAAATTCAAGAGAAATATATAAGTCCTTCAAAAAAGTAAATATACTTAAAAGTGAAGTAAAAAATAAAGTATGTTTATATTCTATTTAAAATATAGATTGCTCTTTTGGTTTATTTTGCTGCTTTGTCCCATGCTAGATACCACATGATTTCCCCCCCCTAAAATGACATAAAAAGTTTAGGTTTAATGATAAGAAACCAGTACAGTGCAAAGCAATTCATGCATACACTTTTGCATGTATGCATTCCATATGTAAGTATTCATACCTATCCCAGAGGTTCTTTGATTCCTGAAACGTGTTCAAATGGAACGCTTGGTAGAAAGCAGTTGAAGGATTCCTGTGAGATCCAAGAATCAAATGGAAATGAGGTTGAGAAAGTACAGTAAAATCACTACTTTTCAAAAAAAGATGGAAGATTTTAGATTTTTAATATAGTGTAATGGCTTTAGTAAAAAGGAAAACAACACTACATAAGCTTGCTTAAAAACATTTTGAAAGAAATTAAAAAACTGGATGAAATCCAGCAGACTTGACAACAATTCAGGATCACAGTTCTAAAAGAAAGGGATAATACAGATAAAATAGCATCCAATTATGTGTGTGCGCATAAGTTTAGACATATATGTGACCAGTTCATAGCCTAATCAACACTACTCTATATCAGATGCCTTTGTAAGTCTCTAAACATTTAGCAGTTTAGCAAAGCTGTTCCCAGGTACAGTACTCATGTAAAATAAATTAAGCTACACCTTCATAATATAGAAATTCTTCACAGGATCTATTTGACAGAGTCTGATGATGAACAATTGAGTCCTTTTCTGGGTTGGACTTGACATGGTTTCTACTTTCATAATCCATTTATTTATGTGTGGTTTCTCTGGATTAGGGCAAAACATGGTGCAGCAATTATATGGCAGCTTTCTGATTTCTTGCATTAGTATAGTGCCCCTTTAAGGGGTAAGAGCTCCCACACCTTAATTACCATCTATTTCTACCATTCCCTGGACACACATTCCCTAGGGCTATAACCACAGAATCTTAACTGATGGGCTCATCCTGGCGAGCTCCCAGCATGCACTATTCACCTCACATCTCTGGAGTGGTTTGTTAGGGGACTACTTAAACTTATGACAACTCTGCTAATAGCTCCCCCGAATATTCCTGTAGTTTCCCCAACCCCAACCTGTACATTAGGGAGCTAACAAAAACTTGTCGTATCACCTCTAAAATCCTTGACCCACGCTGTAGCAGAGTAACAGCAAGCTATATACATATTACATACCAGGCACTATTCTGAGTGTTTTACATTTATTAACGCAATTCTACAACAACCCTAAGAGGTAGGTGTTATTATTATTATTCCTATCTCACCAATAAGGAAATGGGTCAGAGAGAAGTAATTTGCCTGATGTCACAGAGCTAGTAGGTAACAATCTGGTCCTAGAGTTTATGCTTTTAAACTACTATGCTAAACATATAGTGGAGTTCAATTTTAACCTCTCTAGGTCTCTTTTATCAGTTAAATGGTGATATTATGATCTAGCCTTGCAGAGTGGTTAAGGAACTGAGACTATATATAAAGCTCTTTATATATATATAGTCTATGGTCAATAAATAATAGCTATTATTTTATCACCAAAATGAAGTTCAAATACAACATGGCAATTCTGAGACCCTCACAAGCACCTTAAGAGTCCCTACCATATTATTAGTACAATAAGAAAACTATTTACAAATTCTACTGGAATAGCAATCAAATATCAATGATCAACAAGCAAAACAAATACTCAACAGAATTCCATGATTTCAAAATTCAGATTAAGACTCATTGTCTTAACCTACTGAATTTTTTAAAAATACAAAAGGCATTTTCTATTTTAACCACTAGGGTACCTCTTAGATGATCCAAAATTAGGAAAGGCAGACAGACACTAGATGCCAGAGTGTCACCAAAGCAACTATTTGATTAATTGGCATCTTCAGTATACGTACTTCTCTTTGCTCTACCTACTTTAACTCCTTTCTATGCTTTTAACCCTTTCTCTATTTTTCTCTAGACTAGGTCCAAGGTAATCAAATATATTGATTAGACCTGCTAATATCAAGGATTAAGAGGCTGCTAACTACTGTTTATTTAACAGCTTGTATCCTCTCAAGATATATTTGGCAGGCCCTTTTTTTCACTGTACTTGGAAATCAGTCTATCAATTTAAATGAAAGTCAACTGAACCAACTGAAGAAAATCGATTGGCTTTTTTTTTTTTTTTAAACCAGGCTTACCCAGGACCATATGGGGACAAGTTTGCTATTCACACAGGTTTGGAGACCTTGGATTTAAAACAGTGACTCAAAGAGGAAAGTAGTAAATATGAGAGAACAACAAAGAGTAAACCTGGAGGTTATTCTGCAAGTCTGGAATTTAAAATTCATTAAAGAGTTACAATATATTTATAAGGATGACATTCTTTAAAAAAACTTCAGATCCTCTGACTTTGGAAAAATACATACATACATATTTAATTTGAATCAAATTCATATGCCAAATAAATTGGGTTTTAAATGAAATCATATGACTTTAAGTTATGAGATTCTAGCATTTTTATAGCACAGACTCTAAAAATGAAATGTTTCTCATAAGTCAAATGTAGAAGTGAAAAAAGAACATATCTGCAGTTAGTTGTGTATCTTGGGGCAAAAAAGGAACCTATGAAATAAAATACTATAAATGGACCTAAAGTCTTCAGAACATGTCAGAACAAATACACTTAGGTTGCAAAAGCTGGCAGTGAATCACTTTCTACATACACTCAAAATGAAGAAGCCATATGGAGTAATACAATCTATGTACTCTGGAAAAATTTAAATAGTCTAGATTCCACGGATAAACATTTAGACAGGCTTATAAAATATGACATTTTTGGTTTCTCGAATACTTCAGCAGGGATGTCTTCCATAAACTTGAGGGATTTTTAGCAAATAGCAACAATTAGCCTCAAAACATTGATTAACAGGTATAGATTAAAGAAGTCTGTAAAACCTAGCTGATCAAGAACTTCAAAAGAGCCATTTGTAAATACTGAAGGGCTTGATCATCAAAGACTTCTGTTTTGGAATGGCATAAAATTGAGGAAATTAATAGCCCAAGGAAAACACCGTTAATTGAGATCATTTCAAGGTTATATAGTCTATGTAATCTGAAGGCACCAAGTCGCAACTGACATCATTAAAAATTTATTAGAAAGAAGTACTGAATTTTATGCAACTTTGGTCACAAATTCTCTTCTGCCCAAGAAATAAAATTTTGAAACCAGTTTTCTAATAACGTATTTGATGTCAATGTTAACTACTAATCTAAATATAAAGCCAACAAAGCACTTCTTAGGGAGACTGAGGTGTGGTTTATTCTGAATTTTATGAAAATGCTGTTTTCCCATTTGTGGACATTTTTCTTTTTTTTTTAAAGATTTTATTTATTTATTTGAGACA